TAACCTCATTTTGCTCCGTCTCCTCAGGGGCCTCAGGTGTGAAGCTTCCCCCCTCGTAACCTCTTTGTTTGCGACGAACACATCCTTTACCAACAAGGTACATAATAAGAGCTATTAAACCAAATACTACTAAGCCAGCAATTGTTCCCGAAAAACTGCTCAGAAAAGAGGCAGCACTTGGAACTACACACTGCTCTATCACTGCTTTTGACATTGGAGGTATGTTATTGGGCGTGGCTGGAGGAATCGCCCAAGCATTTTGTGCTGTTGACGGAGTCACACTTGGTGGAACAATTGCAGGGATACGACGTCTATTTTTCACCGCAGTATCGTTGTTAAAGGTTTTAATCGCTCTCTGATTTTCCGGCGTGAGCGGCACAGACTTCCCTATGTCACTGTTAGGTGCTTCAGGGGGAGGCACACGAGGTTTAAACGTTGTCACAACTAGCTGCTCTTTCTCTCCCTTCACAACCCCTCGAGGTTGGAGAATTTCTGGACTTGGGGTGTCAATTTTTTCTTTACCGCCTTCAAGAACGTTTGTGGGACTTTGCATTGATTGTAAAACCTGGAGGTCTTTCCCGTCGATATCCTCATCTAAAGCTGAATTAGACCTAACATACTTTGTTTCGCTGGCTGTATAAGTGTCATCGTAATTCTCTTGATGAATGTCCCTTCCAGTTCTCTCTGAATGCGTAGGTTCTTCAATGTTAGTTTTAATTGTGCTCTCAACTTTTTTATTTACCTTTTGCCTGACTCTTTGTCGCCTGGTCAGTTTTAACACCGACGTTTTATTCCAAGGGGTTCTCTTTGTTCTAGCAACTAACTTTTGTAACTTAAAACTGTGGTATTTTTCTTGAATTGGTGTCAACTGAGAACAATTTCCAGGACATATTCTTGACTTTAGGCAATTCTTTTGTGCAACAGAATTTTCCTCGCAGCATAAAGAGCAAGCTTTACAAGTGTTGGTGGTTTCATCGTCATAGTGCATATAGGGGCACTCCCGGCACCTTGCGTTGGTTTCTATAGTACACGAACTCAGGACCTCTTTTGAGCCACAGTCTGTGCAGGCTTTGCACGTTGCGCTGTCGGCTTTATCTGAGTAGGTACCTGCCTTGCATGGCACACAGTCGCCAACTGCCTTGCGAACCATTGTAGAGCCACATGGTGGCGAGGGCTCCTGTCCCGCAGGACATGTGGGGCACTCAATACATCTGACTCTATTTTTATTGCCATCAATTGTGTAGGTATCTGGAGGGCACTTGTCCAGTCCATCTGGATAGAACGCTGCGCTGGCGTTTTGCAGATCTTCCCATAGGGCCTTCGTCTGCATGTACAGAAATAATGCATGTTTGGATGTTAACCACCTTTCCTTATAACTAAGACATTATATTATTAGTTTAGATTCATGAGATGACCAGTCAAATTTGGTACATGTTACAAATCTACAATAGGTGAAACCCATACTCGGTAGACAACATATGCAGCTCTGGCCAAGTTTGCCTTCACTGTGTAATTTTTGTGGGTTTGTGATCAATCCAACCCTCATTGGCACAATTATATTAGACAGCTTTTCGTTTTGCTTAATAAAGCACGGCGCGCGGCGGCCCAGTCTTGATTCTCCACAGATATTTGTCCAGCGGTAAATTTACGGGCATGCACAGTAATGCATCGGTTATGGGCGTGAAAAATGAACGATGATGTTTTAATCCGTTTATCCTATTTAGTTTTAATCCTATGCAACCTATGCATTTGTCTGTTTACGGAACCAGATTCCATGAGAGTGGTCGACGTTCATCCTCAAACGATATAAGTTATTGTCAAACTACAGTTTGAAAGTGAAACAGTATAAGTGGCCTGAGACACGCTGGTCAGGAGGTAAAATCTACATATCTCATTGCTGACACATAAAATTTGACTTACCCAAGTCAAGAAAACAAACCCAACGGTAACCAACAGCTTAAAAAGGTCTACATCCAAGTCTTCCATTTTTATTCGTGCTGAGCTAGGCGGAAACTGCGTCGTGGTCGTTATCCTGCGATAGAAACAACCAATAACAATCATCACCATTATCATCATCATCACTATCAGTATAATAATCATTATCAAACTCAGACTGTTAAGGTGATTCCCTGGTTTTGCACTACGCATCTCTTTCTGCGCATAACAAGATGGCCGCCGTAAAAAAGAGCATGTGAAGTAACATTATTAAAATGAAGTTGACTGAAGAGAAACGCTATTGGAATTTTTGCTCGCGGTTGTTTCTTGCCGAGGTGAGACTCAATGTGTTGGGAATGTGCATAATGTAAGCAGTACGCGTAATCCTGAGTTCGACTTCCTCACGGAGAACCTCGATAGTGGATGTTTAACTTGTGCTTACTCACTTTGATTTTCATTTAAACGCTTTCTTTATCGCATTGTGTCCTAAATGTGATATCTCGATGTAAACTCTGTAAAATCGGATTTTCTAATACTTTCTTCCCCCTTTCACATACATCCTATTTTGAAACTCGCCCCAGTCCTCTCTCAAAAATCGGAGAAAATGCGTTTGGTGCGCACTTTCTGCAGCTCTACCGCAAAAACGTGTAGGGTGACCCCCATTTTTTATTTCATGATTTTAATAGGAGCAGTGCTTCCTTTTGATGATAAAAAAATTGGCACAAGTCTATGTTCAGTTTTTTGGCAGATTTTACTAAATTGTACGGATTGAGCTATCACCGGATCGAATAGCGCGTGTCCAATTTAATTCTACTTTGGAGCGTAAAGTAAAAACAAGGGCATTAAAAGGCATTTTTCCGGTACGTAAGTGGATAAAAAATACATTAAAGTCAAATTTTGTGCGATACCACATGCATCATCGAAAAAATCTCTCCTTTTTGTCTAGTTTTGGCCTAGGCGCGGGATTTGTCAAAAGGTCCTAAATAGCCGTATTTGTCAGCATTGTGACGTCAAAACAAGCACGGTAACCCCACCTTTTCATTACTTTTTTATAATCTTCTTGACTTGTTACATCAGTCTACCAAGTTTCATCTACAATCTATGTTAGGTTCTTTTACTAAGGAATCACCTTAAATGATGGTAGCAGTACAAAATATGCTTGCGAAAGTCACACGTGAAACCGTGAATGGCATTGTCACCATATAAGTAAATCCCGTTTGAGTATGACACTTCCTTGCCTCCAGCTTGCTTGTTTTCAGACGGCAGTAAAAATTAATAGGATATTATTGTCAATGCCAAACCACAAAGATGACATCATAATTGCAAACATATCCTGTTTTTATGTATAAGAAAAAACAACGGTGTATGTACCATTTTTGCCCGTAGCGTAAGTGGCTCTACAACTTTAGAAGATACCACAGTTTTGTTTGTTCTGGCAGTGCAAATTGAATCCCCTAAACTGTTTATAAATATGTGGAAATTTCGCAAGTGTTGCGAGAAAGTGACGGCCTCTGGAACAGAGAATATGTTTTCCCTCGTTATTTTTCGAGCGTAAAATTTGATCCCCCCTTTTTTAGTCTACTTAGTTCGCTGATCCAGGTGTTCGTTCACAATGAAAAAGGTAAACAAAGTGAATATTCCGCAGAGTATTTTCCTGTTCGATCATGGCGGGTCATCATGCAGTGATATCGATGTTCGAAGTAGTTCGACTTTGCAACATGTATGTTAAATTGAGTAGCATCTCAACTTAAAAAAAAAACGTCTTTTAATTAGTATACTATAGTGTTTTCATAGCAAAAAAGAAATCTTCCTTTTAATTTATTCGTCGTAATTTCATAAACTAGGTCAATGTTTTTCTATAATTTTGCATTTCATTAACATTACGCGTCGATGGTGCGTTGCAACATTTTTCAGTGTCTTAATGTTGTATGTAATATATCGATCATGGAGTGCAGGTAAATAAGTTTCGAATGAATATTTCAAGTGCTATAACATTATTGAGTATTAACCTGTCGTATGGCGCCCTCAGAAAAGATAGAGATAGATAAACTTGCCGTGAAACACTCACTGGTTGAAAGCCTTGTTCATTCTTCTTCCAGCTGCTGTATCGAGTTAGGATTTCAAATATGTACCCTTGCACTTCCTCGTCACTTTCACCCCTCAATTTCGCACGAAAATACTAGTAAATTGATGAAGATGTTACAGAGGATCAAGTACGGTTTCTTGTGAAGTAGAAATAGCTAATTTGTTGTTTTACAAGTCACTGTGTGACTCAGTAGTGAAAAGCCAAAAAAATCTTAACTTTCCCGGTTCAATGGATAAGCAAGTATTTCACACACGATCGAGGCTAAATCGTGTATCTACGTCAATCAGATTCTTAATGAAGCCTCTAAAAAACTAAGTTATGGATAGAAACACCACCTTAACACGTTTGGCTTGTTTGCATTTTAGAAGAAATTGACTTAAAACAACCTTTATGAATATAGCAAAACTCCTTTGCTTACAGCGCACATAAAGTGTATACAAAACGTGAAGTTTATGCCATTCCCTCCTTTTTTAGTGTACATGGAAACCGGAACTCAAACAAACAAAACAGTGGGAAACAAATGACGGACTTTGTCCATGTGCGTTTTTTGCCAGAGGGTAGTTTATTTTTGTGCCTCCATTTATACTTGAATTTGACGTTGGATCCAAATTCGAAGATAACGTTTTGGGTAAAAATGCCTCATGTATGTTCTTTAAAAATGTGGAATTGTATGTTTTCAGGTCGTGCTGTTAATTTTGATGTTTAATAACAATTAGTATAATTTTGTTTGGTCGTGTGTGGTTTTGAATAATGACTCATTGTCTTCCGTCATTTAATAGTGAAGCGGGGATTCCCCCGGTCCCGCTTTTCTACGTCACTAAACGTCACTTAGACCCTGTTTACATGGAGTGAGGGACCCCGGTCTAGTGGGGTAAGTTTCTTTTGTTTTGTGTCCCCCAGAGCGTGAAAACAAAAGAAACCAACCCCACTAGACCGGGGTCCCCACTCCATGTAAACAGGGTCTTAGTTGTTAAAGGCTTAAAAAGTAAAAAATATCCAACAGGCAAATGCGACGGCTATTTAACAATTATTCGCCGAAGGCGAAGTTAATATTGTTGAATAATCCCCGAGACTTCCTCTCGGGGATTATTCAACAATATTAACTGAGCCTGAGGTGAATAATTGTTTTAGTATATTCACACGAAGTGATCTCAACAGAATCAGAAAGGAAACCATTAACAAACGATTAGTTTGATTGACGGGTGAATTCCTGCGTGAAAACGAAGCCGTAAACAGTGGATGCGCAAAAGTTAGATTTACAGTATCTTCAACCATGGCCATGTGGGCGAGAGGGATAATTGTTTTAGTAAAATCCAACTAGTTGGTCAAAAATATCGAGACAAAACCGCTTTAGCAAGCAAAACGCGATTCAGCTGCCATTGTTTTGGTTCTCAAAGCCAGCGCTTTTCGCTACTATAGTGGGCTATCACATATAGCCTTGTAGTAGCTCAACCAATCATAATGCAGCATTGATAATAGACCACTAGTTGGATTTTACTGAAAATACGTATCTTTTGTTACAAGTAAGTCTAGTATATTACATAGCTAATTTATTATTTGAAAACTAAACGGTTAATAGAAGAGTTTTTAAAACGCATAGTGTTAATCTTAGGTTTAAAACAAGTTTCTTCCCCAAGATTGTAACTGATTCGATTGTAACTGACTCGATTGTATGATTTTGTCTCGCTTAGCCGTGGATTTGCCGAAATCTCGGCCATCATGTAATCTAGTATGCAAAACAATATCGATTGAGATTCTTGAAGGGTGAAAGGCAAAATATACTACTTTTAAAATAATGTGCCAAACAAAAAACGAACTCTACCTAGAGCCAACAGTACATACACCATTTCTTCGAACGTTACTGCTTACTTCTGAAGTCATACCCAGCGCGCCACCAGATGTGAGCTATTACGTCTGACGAAAATATTTTCTGCAACAGGCCCTTGGTTTGATAAGATATTTGATCCAGAAAATTTCATGAAAATAATGGGTATTAAAAATATCAGGGGCCGGATGGTTATTTCTTCCTTTTCTTGGACCGCTTGGTTATCACACGGCGTTGTTTACCCTTATGAGTCGCACGAGGAAAGGTGGTTACCATCTTAGATTAAACTGAATTTCAGAGTTATCAAGTAGGGCTGACATGGACATTTAAAGCTCGCACCATGTAAGGGATTCCGGATTCCGGAATGCAAGAAATTTTGGCTGGTGGAATCAGGAATCTAGGAAAATATGCTGGTGGAATCCCGAATTCTTCTCAAGATTGGAATCCAGAATCCAAGTTCCACTGACAAAGACTGGAATCCAGTACCTGGAATCTGGAATCCACGGCGTGGAATCCAGAATCCAAGACTGTCTTGGATTCCCTTATACGGGGCGATAAAGCGTTTAAAGGCATTGAAACAAAGAAACTATTTAACCAATACAGTTATATGGTAATAATTTTTTTTTTGCTTTTGTCTTTTTTATTGTTAAACTTCAGAGCATCAACTACAAGTAAGTTTCTTAAACCCAAAATGACATAAAGCCATATCCATGGGCAGTTTAAAAAACGAGCAGGGGTGTAATATCGGGTTTATAATCATACACAACTACGGGTTTTTTGAACGGCTTCAAAATCTCCGATATAGATCAACTCATTCTTGCACTAATATTCAGATTTGGCCATTGCATTTACGTACAGTAGTTATTTACACGAGGTTATTGAAAACTTTGAGAGAACTCTTTGATTTCTTGAACCAGCGACACATTTCACATTTGCTTTTGGAATTCTTCACCCTTCGAGATCTGTAAGATTTTATATTTGAGTCGCAGGAATTACTTATAGCATATCTTGATCTCGAGGCAACTTGTTGAGACATATTGCAGATTAAATTAAAAGATCTTTCATCCTGACAAAAGATTGAAACCGTCACTAAATGAATGACCGTTTTCCCCTCTCTAATCTTCCAAAGTTGTTTTTCTCGACAACAGAATTGAACGCGTTCATTTTAAGACCAAATGAGTGATCTATAAGAGAAATTTAACTTCACATAGTAAATTTCTGTATCCCTCAGATTCTTGAGCTAAATTTATATACTGGATGGAGTTTTTTTTGTTGTTGATGGACTGACGCTGGAACCAGCAATTACGTTTGGAAACGATCTTAATTAAAAGAGCAGAGGTGAATGTTTTGTCTCAGTTTGCGTGAAATGTTTCATCAGGGATCACCGCAGGAAATCGGTTAAGTAAGTTTGATAACAGAGACAATGTCAGAACGTCTTCTTTCAGGACTCCTTAAAACTTCCACGAGGTCTGATACATTTCTGTTCTGCTTCTTTCCAAGCATTTCGAACAGCTTACTGGTGGGGCTTCCATTGTCCCTTTTGTATTCGATCTTTAAGTATCGAAGATCGTCTTTGTCTATGTGAAACGCTTCGCCTACTTTTTGCCAGCCATAGAACCGTTGACCCGGGCAGCGTACATCCAATTTCTTTATGAAGAATTCCTCAACATGAAAAGGTAGATCAGCCAGATTGACATCTGAAAGATTAAAATGTAAAGCTTCGATATCAGGACCAATCAAAATGACTCATTACTAATATTAATTATAACAATATAATAAAATACTTTATTAACTTTATGGTTTAAGGTCAAGTAAATTCTTGGGCAACAAAAACGAGCATCTTGTTTTGTAACATTGCTGCAAACGAATTGAAAAAAGCGATATTGCGCTTCTTACTATCCACGTTTACTCCTGTCTTGCAACAAATCAGGTTGTTGCAGGCTGGAAAAGTTGTTGCAGAAAGTAGAGAGTAGCTCTACCTTTTGCAAAAAATCTGTACATGTTGCACGTTTTATCGGCCCAAAGCAAACTTGTGTCGCAGCAAGTGACGTAACTCCAGGATAATTTTATCCAATCAGAAGTCAACATTCACGCAACTTGCAGCTTGATTTATTGCAAGACATGTTTGAACGTTGGTGGTAAAACACGTAACATCGCTTTTCCAGTCTTTTTGCAGCAATGCTTCGAATCAAGTTACAGTTTTAGTTTAACACCTGCGCCAGCTACTTTACAGGTGTGCCGAGACAGAAATTAATAAATAAAATTAGCGATATTATACTACTACAGGAGAAATTTCTGCAGTTTGATTGGCTTAGAGCAGTGGTATTTCAGCTTAATTTGAAATACCTACATGTGAAAATTACAAACCTTTTGCGGGCAGTGGTATAAACAAGTAATGGCAGGATTTGTACGTGATATTTAGCATAAATACCACCCGTGATATTTCAAAATTGTCTCAAATTTCACTCGCCTAACGGCTCCTGAAATTACGTATACCAATTTTCAAATATTAGTCGTGGTATATATGCTAAATAGCACTACAAATCATGCTATTACCTATACAGATATCAATTAGAAAAAAGGTCAGTTAAAAAACTCCATACATGAAACTATTTAAAATTAAACTGAAATAATGCCATCACAGAATGAAGCATGAAGCAGTTCCTTGGGGTATTTGCTTGGATGAAATGGGAGCTTAAAACACATATTTAAATTTATTTTCTTCATGAATTTATAATAAATTCTGTGGTAAAAGAACAAAATGAGACTAGAAAGCTTTACTAGCATTTAGAATTGCATAATGTTTTGATTCTCACCATCCCCAATCTGGATAGCCTCATTTTGATACATTTGCTTTATAGTTAAGCTTCCCCTCTCCTTCGAGTCCTCATCAGATTGATCGTCTATTTTGATAAATTAAAGGAGCATGTCAGTAATTGCTTAGGCTTCCTCTGATATACTAGAGTAAATCTGCCGATTATCCTCCTTCATTTTCAAAAAATTTGCAAGAGGACTCCAATGACAATGAAACACGTGCCGCTGGATGTCTGAGTGGATTTGAATGTATCCGAACCTTTCTCAAATTTAAATCGAGTTTAAAAAGCGAACCTCGCGTAGCATTGTTTTCGCAGAAGTGAATGAAGTGGAAGGCGAAGTAAAAAATTAATGAGGTGGATGAAAATTATAAGAATGAAAATTATGAATTAACACTGACAATGGACGATTTAATTAAAATTTGAATCATTAAATAATAGTAAATTCTTTCATATAATGAAAACGATAACTGGGCAACGAGAGGTTAATAGGAATTTTACGATAATTGTTAATGCCCAGGCGCAATTGACAGTTTGTATCAAGAAAATGGAAGAAATACCTCGAATTTGTTGTTCTTTCGTTTCTTCTTTTTCACTTGGCTTTCTGTAAACTTTTTGTTGGCGACGAACACATCCTTTACCAACAAGGTACATAATAAGAGCTATTAAACCAAATACTACTAAGCCGGCAATTGTTCCTGAAAAACTGCTCAGAAAAGAGGCAGCACTTGGAACTACAGACTGCTCTATCACTGCTTTTGACATCGGAGGTATGTTTTTGGGAGTGGGTGGAGGAATCGCCCAAGCATTTTGTGCTGTTGACGGAGTCACACTTGGTGAAACAATTGCAGGGATACGACGTCTATTTTTCACCGCAGTATCGTTGTTAAAGGTTTTAATCGCTCTCTGATTTTCCGGCGTGAGCGGCACAGACTTCCCTTTGTCACTGTTAGGTGCTTCAGGGGGAGGCACACGAGGTTTAAACGTTGTCACAACTAGCTGCTCTTTCTCTCCCTTCACAACCCCTCGAGGTTCGAGAATTTCTGGACTTGGGGTGTCAATTTTTTCTTTACCGCTTTCAAGAACGTTTGTGGGACTTTGCATTGATTGTAAAAACTGGAGGTTTTTCCCGTCGATATCCTCATCTAAAGCTGGATTAGACCTAACATACTTAGTTTCGCTGGGTGTATAAGTGTCATCGTAATTCTCTTGATGAATGTCCCTTTCAGTTCTCTCTGAATGCGTAGGTTCTTCAATGTTAGTTTTAACTGTGCTCGCAATTTTTTTATTTACCCTTTGCCTGACTCTTTGTCGCCTGGTCAGTTTTAACACCGGCGTTTTATTCCAAGGGGTTCTCATTGTTCTAGCAACTAACTTTTGTAACTTAAAACTGTGGTATTTTTCTTGAATTGCTGTCAACTGAGAACAATTTCCAGGACATATCCTTGAGGTTAGACAATTCTTTTGTGGAACAGAATTTTCCTCGCAGCATAAAGAGCAAGGTTTACAAGTGTTGGTGGTCTCATCGTCATAGTGCATATAGGGGCACTCCCGGCACCTTGCGTTGGTTTCTATAGTACACGAACTCAGGACCTCTTTTGAGCCACAGTCTGTGCAAACTTTACACGTTGCGCTGTCGGCGTTATCTGAGTAGGTACTTGCCTTGCATGGCACACAGTCGCCAACTGCCTTGCGAACCACTGTAGAGCCACATGGTGGCGAGGGCTCCTGTCCCGCAGGACATGTGGGGCACTCAATACATCTGACTCTATTTTTATTGTCATCAATTGTGTAGGTATCTGGAGGACACTTGTCCAGTCCATCTGGATAGAACGCTGCGCTGGCGTTTTGCAGATCTTCCCATAGGGCCTTCGTCTGCATGTACAGAAAAAATGCATGTTTGGATGTTAACCACCTTTCCTTATAACTAAGACATATTATTAGTTTAGATTAATGAGATGACCAGTCAAATTTGGTGCATGTTGCAAATCTACAATGGGTGAAACCCATACTCGGTAGACAACATATGCAGCTTTGACCAAGTTTGCCTTCACTGTGTAATTTTTGTGGGTTTGTGATTAATCCAACCCTCATTGGCACAATTATATTAGACAGCTTTTGGTTTTGCTCAATAAAGCACGGCGCACGGCGGCCCAGTCTTGATTCTCCACAGATATTTGTCCAGCGGTAAATTTACGGGCATGCACAGTAATGCATCGGTTATGGGCGTGAAAAATGAACGATGATGTTTTAATCCGTTTATCCTATTTAGTTTTAATCATTTCAATCCTATGCAACCTATGCATTTGTCTGTTTACAGAACAAGATTCCATGAGAGCGGTCGACGTTCATCCTCAAACGATATAAGTTATTGTCAAACTACAGTTTGAAAGTGAAAAAGTATAAGTGGCCTGAAACACACTGGTCAGGAGGTAAAATCAACATATCTCATCGCTGACACATGATGTAAAATTTGACTTACCCAAGTCAAGAAAACAAACCCAACGGTAACCAACAGCTTAAAAAGGTCCACATCCAAGTCTTCCATTTTTATTCGTGCTGAGCTAGGCGGAAACTGCGTCGTGGTCGTTATCCTGCGATAGAAACAACTAATAACAATCATCACCATTATCGTCATCATCATTATCAGTATAATAATCAATATCAAACTCAGACTGTTAAGGTGATTCCCTGGTTTTGCACTGCGCATCTCTTACTGCGCATAACAAGATGGCCGCCGTAAAAAAGAGCATGTGAAGTACAATTACTAAAATGAAGTTGACTGAAGAAAACGCTTTTGGAATTTTTGCTTGCGGTTGTTTCTTGCCGAGGTGAGACTCAGTGTGTTGGGAATGTGCATAATGTAATCCTGAGTTCGACTTCCTCACGGAGAACCTCGATAGGGGATGTTTAACTTGTGCTTACTCACTTTGATTTTCATTTAAACGCTTTCTTTATCGCATTGTGTCCTAAATGTGATATCTCGATGTAAATTCTGTAAAATCGGAATCTTTAATACTTTCTTCCCCCCTTTACATACATCCTATTTTGAAACTCGCCCCAGTCCTCTCTCAAAAATCGGAGAAAATGCATTTGGTGCGCACTTTCTGCAGCTCTACCGCAAAAACGTGTAGGGTGACCCCCATTTTTTAATTCATGATTTTAATAAGGGCAGTGCTTCCTTTTGATGAGGAAAAAATTGGCACAAGTCTATGTTCAGTTTTTTGGCAATTTTACTAAATTGTACGGATTGAGCTATCACGGATCGAATAGCGCGTTGTAAAGTAAAAACAAGGGCATTAAAAGGCATTTTTCCGGTACGTAAGTGGATAAAAAATACATTAACGTCAAATTTTGTGCGATACCACATGCATCATCGAAAAAATCTCTCCTTTTTGTCTAGTTTTGGGCTGGACGCGGGATTTGTCCAAAGGTCCTAAATAGCCGTACTTGTCAGCATTGTGACGTCAAAACAAGTACGGTGACCCCAACTTTTTATTACTTTTTTATAATCTTCTTGACTTGGTACATCAGTGTACCAAGTTTCATCTACAATCTATGTTAGGTTCTTTTACTAAGGAATCACCTTAAGTGATGGTAGCAGTACAAAATATGCTTGCGAAAGTCACACGTGAAACCGTGAATGGCATTGTCATCATGTAAGTAAATCCTGTTTGAGTGTGACACTTCCTTGCCTCCAGCTTGCATGTTTTCAGACGGCAGTAAAAATTAATAGGATATTGTTGTCAATGCCAAACCACAAAGATGACATCATAATTACAAACATATCCTGTTTTTATGTATAAGAAAAAAAAACGGTGTATGTACCATTTTTGCCCGTAGCGTAAGGGCTCCACAACTTTAGAAGATACCACAGTTTTGTTTGTTCTGGTAGTGCAAATTGAACCCCCTAAACTGTTTGTGGAAATTTCGCAAGTGTTGCGAGAAAGTGACGGCCTCTGGAACAGAGAATATGTTTTCCCTCGTTATTTTTCGAACGTAAAATTCAGTGAAAATTTGATCCCCCCTTGTTTAGTCTACTTAGTTCGCTAATCCACGTGTTCGTTCACAATGAAAAAGGTATAAAAAGTGAATATCCCGCAGAGTATTTTCCTGTTCGATCATGGCGGGTCATCATGCAGTGATATCGATGCTCGAAGTAGTTCGACTTTGCAACATGTATGTTAAATTGAGTAGCATCTCAACTTAAAAAAAAAACATCTTTTAATTAGTGTACTGTAGTGTTTTCATAGGAAAAAAAATCTTCCTTTCAATTTATTCATCGTAATTTCATAAACTAGGTCAATGTTTTTCTATAATTTTGCATTTCATTAACATTACGCGTCGATGGTGTGTTGCAATATTTTTCAGTGTCTTAATGTTGTATGTAATATATCGATCATGGAGTGCAGGTAAATAAGTTTCGAATGAATATTTCAAGTGCTATAACATTATTGAGTATTAACCTGTCGTATGGCGCCCTCAAAAAAGATAGAGATAGACAAACTTGCCGTGAAACACTCACTGGTTGAAAGCCTTGTTCCTTCTTGCTCCTACTGCTGTATCGAGTTAGGATTTCAAATATGCACACTTGCGCTTCCTCGTCACTTTCACCCCTCAATTTCGCACGAAAACACTATTAAATTGATGGAGATGTTACAGAGGATCAAGTACGGTTTCTTATGAAGAAGAAACAGCTAATTTGTTGTTTTACAAGTCACTGTGTGACTCAGTAGTGAAAAGCCAAAAAAATCTTAACCTTCCTGGATCAATGGATAAGCAAGTATTTCACACACGATCGAGGCTAAATCGTGTATCTACGTCAATCAGTTTCTTAATGAAGCCTCTAAAAAACTAAGTTATGGTTAGAAACACCACCTTAACACGTTTGGCTTGTTTGCATTTTAGAGGAGATTGACTTAAAACAACCTTTATGAATATAGCAAAACTCCTTTGCTTACAGTGCACATAAAGTGTATACAAAACGTGAAGTTTATGCCATTCCCTCCTTTTTTAGTGTACATGGAAACCGGAACTCAAACAAACAAAACAGTGCGAAACAAATGATGGACTTTGTCCATGTGCGTTTATTGCCAGAGGGTAGTTTATTTTTGTGCCTCCATTTATACTTGAATTTGACGTTGGATCCAAATTCGAAGATAACATTTTGGGTAAAAATGCCTCACGTATGTTCTTCAAAAATGTGGAATTATATGTTTTCAGGTCGTGCTGTTAATTTTGATGTTTTAATAACAATTACTATTATTTTGTTTGGTCGTGTGTGGTTTTGAATAATGACTCATTGTCTTCTGTCATTTAATAGTGAAGTGGGGATTCCCCTGGTTCCGCTTTTCTACGTCACTAAACGCATGTTTAGTGTCCTCACTTAGTTTTTAAAGGCTTAAAAAATAAAAACTATCCAACAGGCAAATGCGACGGCTAGTTAACAATTATTCGCCGAAGGCGAAGTTAATATTATACACTTAATGTCAGATCCCGAGGGAAACAGTTAGTTTTGTTTTCCCAAGAGTCCTGATGTTTCCCGAGACGAAGTCGAGGGAAACATCAGGACTCGAGGGAAAACAAAACTAACTGGTTTCCCGAGGGACCTGACATTAAGTGTTTTGTTATATTTCTAGACTTTCACTTCAACAGCAACAAAAGAATAACCGGAGCGAACCAAAACAGTCGACTCGGTACTTATAACAACACAAATTTAATTCTCAAAACCACTGAATGAATGATTTACAAACAAAAGTACTTTCCTCATATTATCTGCATCTTTTTCCTCCACTAGCTGCTGTTTTTCTTCTGGGAACTTCTGGGATAACTTTAAAAATCGTTGCTTTTTAGCTTGAGGTTTCGTTTTTGTGTTGTTGTGTTCATTCACGAAAAAGAAAACTGGCTGGACCTGGCGGTGTTTTTCCCGCCTTCTGTCACAAAACTTTCCACCGTGCTTTGATCACGTGCTGCAATGTATCCCGAGCGGGATACATTGTTTAATGTATCACGATCGGGATACATTTGATTTTAGTCAAGGCCACGTGACCAAGAATCAACCAATGGCAGTCCCTGTTTAGTTGAGTGAAAGTCTAGGAATATAACAATGTTGAATAATCCCCGAGACGAAGTCGAGGGGATTATTCTACAATATTAACTGAGCCTGAGGTGGATAATTGTTTTAGTATATTCACACGAAGTGATCTCAACAGAATCAGAAAGGAAACCATTAACAAACGATTAGTTTGATTGACGGGTGAATTCATGCGTGAACACGAAGCCGTAAACAGTGGATGCGCAAAAGTTAGATCTTTACAGTATCTTCAAACATGGCCATGTGGGCGAGAGGGATAATTGTTTTAGTAAAATCCAACTAGTTGGTAAAAAAAAAAAACGAGACAAAACCGCTTTAGCAAGCAAAACGCGATTCAGCTGCCATTGTTTTGGTTTTTAAAGTCAGCGCTTTTCGCTATTAGTGGGCTATCACATATAGCCTAGTAGTAGCTCAACCAATCACAACGCAGCATTGACAATAGACCACTAGTTGGATTTTATTAAAAATACATATCTTTTGTTACAAGTAAGTGTAAGAAATTTTAAAAAGTTTAAAATCTAGTATATTACATAGCTAATTTATATTTGAAAAGTAAACGGTTAATAGAAGAGTTTTTAAAACGCATAGTGTTAATCTTAGGTTTAAAACAAGTTTCTTCCCTAAGATTGTAACTGATTCGATTGTAACTGACTCGATTGTATGATTTTGTCTCGCTTAGCCGTGGATTTGCCGAAATCTCAGCCATCATGTAATCTAGTATATGCAAAACAATATCGACTGGGATTCTTGAAGGGTGAAAGGCAAAATATACTACTTTTAAAATGATGTGCCAAACAAAAAACGAACTCTACCTAGAGCCAACAGTACATAAACCATGTCTTCGAACGTTACTGCTTACTTCTGATGTCATACCCTGCGCGCGACCAGATGTGAGCTATTACGTTTGACGATAATATTTTCTGCAACAGGCCCTTGGTTTGATAAGATATTTGATGCAGAAAATTTCATGGAAATAATGGGTATTAAAAATATACGTGGCCGGATGGTTATTTCTTCCTTTTCTCGGACCGCTTGGTTAATTATCACACGGCGTTGTTTACCCTTATGAGTCGCACGAGGAAAGGTGGCTGCCATCTTAGATTAAACTGAATTTCAGAGTTATCAAGTAGGGCTGACATGGACATTTAAAGCTCGCACCATGTAAGGGATTCCGGATTCCGGAATGCAAGAAATTTTGGCTGGTGGAATCAGGAATCTAGGAAAATGTGCTAGTGGAATCCGGAATTCTTCTTAAGATTGGAATCCAGAATCCAAGTTCCACTGACAAAGACTGGAATCCAGTACCTGGAATCTGGAATCCACGGCTTGGAATCCAGAATCCAAGACTGTCTTGGATTCCCTTTTATGGGGCGATAAAGCGTTTAAAGGCATTGAAACAAAGAAACTATTTAACCAACACAGTTATATGGTAATTGCTTTTGTCTTTTTTATTGTTAAACTTCAGAGCATCGACTACAAGTAAGTTTCTTAAACCCAAAATGACATAAAGCCATATCCATGGGCTGTTTAAAAAACGAGCAGGGGTGTAATATCAGGTTTATAATCATACCCAACTACGAGTTTTTTGAACGGCTTCAAAATCTCCGATATAGATCAACTCCATTGCCAGAAATCATGGACATTTCGCGCCCGTGATTAATTGTCAGTGGAATCTCATTTCCAAATGGCGGACAAAAACGATCGTAGTCAGGGAAAGCGTATCCCCTGCGATTTTTAAAATAATTTGAGCTCTGTGGATCCGTTTTACGAAGAAAAAAGCTGGAATAAAACACCTTGCAAGAAAATGTTAGGTTTATACTCGGCCGAGCGGCTGATAGCAACAAAACAGTACGCGGATGTACCTTTCGTGACATTTTCGTGACAATTTTGTTTTAAAACCAAGCCTGGTAGGCTAATCGAGGATTTTTGAATGCCTGGAACCTAGTTTATATCCCGTGAAGCATCTCTGGAGTTGTAACAACAAACAAAATGGCGATTCGGTGAGGTTTGGAGTTGTGAAGCTTTGTCTGACCGAAATGTGTCATTCGCAACTATGGCGTCCATTGCTGGACTACAGATGAAAAACTGAGGGAAATAATGCGCCTTTGGAAGTATTTTCCAGTGCAAAAATCGTCCTTTTAACGACTGTTTTGGAAACATCTTTCATCGCAGAAGTGATATCGAGTCGTGCAAATTTACTTCAGTGAAGGGTTTATCCTCTAATCGACGAGTATTTCGCATGACTTCGGTAAGATTTTAAGACAATGTATGGAGAAATGGAGCGTACAACAAGGGATAAAAGTGGCCACGTCAGGAAGTAAGTAAACGTACTTCTAATTAGCTATTTTTAACCCAGATGCGAAGGTTACACAGCACTTAACATGTTTCGAGTCGTGCACCTAACACCCGTGAGCTCATAATCGATATATTTCAAAAAGTTTCCTTATCTCCATACATTTTCTTATACGAATTCGCAGCCATTGTGGCCTTAGTGCGCAAGCGCAACCGCCATCTTGTCCCTAATTTCTGGCAATGCATTCTTGCACTAATATTTAGATTTGGCCATTGCATTTACATGGACTTTACGTACAGTAGTTATTTACACGAGGTTATTGAAAACTTTGAGAGAACTCTTTGATTTCTTGAACCAGCGACACATTTCACATTTGCTTTTGGAATTCTTCACCCTTCGAGATCTGTAAGATTTTATATTTGAGTCGAAGGAATTACTTATAGCATATCTTGATCTCGAGGCAACTTGTTGCGACATATTGCAGATTAAATTAAAAGATCTTTCATCCTGACAAAAGATTGAAACCGTCACTAAATGAATGACCGTTTTCCCCTCTCTGTTCTTCCAAAGTTGTTTTTCTCGACAACAGAATTGAACGCGTTCATTTTAAGACCAAATGAGTGATCTATAAGAGAAATTTAACTTCACATAGTAAATTTCTGTATCCGTCAGATTCTTGAGCTAAATTTATATACGGGATGGAGTTTTTTGTTGTTGTTGATGGACTGACGCTGGAACCAGCAATAACGTTTGGAAACGATCTTAATTAAAAGAGCAGAGGTGAATGTTTTGTCTCAGTTTGCGTGAAATGTTTCATCAGGGATCACCGCAGGAAATCGGTTAAGTAAGTTTGATAACAGAGACAATGTCAGAACGTCTTCTTTCAGGACTCCTTAAAACTTCCACGAGGTCTGATACATTTCTATTCTGCTTTTTTCCAAGCATTTCGAACAGCTTACTGGTGGGGCTTCCATTGTCCCTTTTGTATTCGATCTTTAAGTATCGAAGATCGTCTTTGTCTATGTGAAACGCTTCGCCTACTTTTTGCCAGCCATAGAACCGTTGACCCGGGCAGCGTACATCCAATTTCTTTATGAAGAATTCCTCAACATGAAAAGGTAGATCAGCCAGATTGACATCTGAAAGATTAAAATGTAAAGCTTCGATATCAGGACCAATCAAAATGACTCATTACTACTATTAATTATAACAATATAATAAAATACTTTATTAACTTTATGGTTTAAGGTAAAGTAAATTCTTGGGCAACAAAAACGAGCATCTTGTTTTGTAACATTGCTGCAAACGAATTGAAAAATGCGATATTGCGCTTCTTACCATCCACGTTTACTCCTGTCTTGCAACAAATCAGGTTGTTGCAGGGTGGAAAAGTTCTTGCAGAAAGTAAAGAGTAGCTCTACCTTTTGTAAAAAATCTGTACATGTTGCACGTTTTATCGGCCCAAAGCAAACTTGTGTCGCAGCAAGTGACGTAACTCCAGGATAATTTTGTCCAATCAGAAGTCAACATTCACGCAACTTGCAGCTTGATTTATTGCAACACATGTTTGAACGTTGGTGGTAAAACACGCAAAATCGCTTTTCAAGTCTCTTTGCAGCAATGCTTCGAAGCAAGTTACAGTTTTAGTTTAACACCTGCACCACCTACTTTACAGGTGTGCCGAGACAGAAATTAATAAATAAAATTAGCGATATTATACTACTGCAGGAGAAATTTCTGCAATTTTATTGGCTTAGAGCAGTGGTATTTCAGCTTAATTTGAAATACCTACATGTGAAAATTACAAACCTTTTGCGGGTAGTGGTATAAACAAATAATAGCACTATTTGTACGTGATATTTGGCATAAATACCACTCGTGATATTTCAAAATTGTCTCAAATTTCACTCGCCTAACGGCTCCTGAAATTACGTATAACAATTTTGAAATATTAGTCGTGGTATTTATACCAAATATCACTACAAATCATGCTCTCTGATTACCTATACAGATATCAATTAGAAAAAAAAGTCAGTTCAAAAACAAACTTCATACATGAAACTAATTAAAATTAAACTGAAATAATGCCGTCACAGAATAAAAAGAGTATTCACAGAATAAAATCAACTGTTTTCTCCACGAAGCAGTTCCTTGGGGTATTTGCTTGGATAAAATGGGAGCTTAAAACAAATATTACTTAAATTTATTTTCTTCATGATTTTATTATGATTTGTTGGGTAGTAATATTTTAAACTTTATTCAACAGCCTTTTTAGATCATCAAATTAGATTTCTTAGTGTTATTTTATTTTCCACTGTCGATTTTATTTTTTATTTTCTTAGTTATCTATTATTTAGTTTCAGGACCCTTTTGATAACAGTTCTTTTTAATAGAACTGATAGGGTTATCCTGTATAAATATTCGCATTATTATTATTAAATTGTTACCATTACCTAACAACTTAGCTGTTACTTACTCGAGTCCACCTCAAATTTTGTGTTCTTTCTCTGGCGCCTGGATTTTTTTCTTCTTTGCAGGACAAAATAATTACAAAGGGAGTACATGAGAGATAAAAAATGAGGCCTTAGCGTACACCCAAATATAATTCCCAATGTAAAAGTTACATAAACGACAGGAGGTAAATGCTCTATTGTCCAGTGATACACTGTGTCATTTTCTTGTGTTGGATCTGATCTTGACTCCGGTGACGATGCATCACGAGGTGGCACTTTAAAGGAGGCCTTTGTTTTCCTTTTGATAGCAGAGTTGCGGTGATGAACGTAAGTGGCATTCTTTCTTTTAGCATCTCGAATGGAATCTGCGTTTTCAAGGCCTGATATATTTGGATCGTTGTGTTCTTTGTTGTCAAACAAATACACTTGCGTATCGGCATGTGGGTCCCATGCAATTAATTCTTTACTCGGTATTTTGATATTTTTCACAGCGTTTCTCGTTCCGCTTTCATTTGATGAAGGTTTTTCCTGTTCAGTTACGTTTCTTCGTTTTTTAGGTTTTTTGGAAATCCTTTTTTTCCTTCTTGTTAAAGTTTCCTTTTCAGAATCATTTTGGAGTAAAGTAACCCTAAGGTTCCTGGATAAACCTTGCTTGATGCCATTTCCACCAATATAATCTTTCTCCATTAGTTTTTTCATCCCCGATCTCTGACTTGGTATTTCCTGTTGCACAGTGATGAAGCCGTAGAGCTGGCCCTGAAAAAAAATAAAGATCATAAATCATTAAACTGAAAAAGTGATGACTGCTACCTCAAGCCACCAATGCGAGAGGTTAACCGGGTCCGTTGCCCGGGTTCTCCACCAAAATATGTTGGGGTTGTTCGAGCAACTCGCTCGCCAAGCCAGAAGGTACCAATAGTCTTCTTTTACACCTTTGTCTTCGCTTCTTTATTCTTCTTTAACTCTTAGCACCCTCTTCTTGGGGACTGTGCAATAATTATCAGGAGGGGGGGGGGGGGCTGAAAACAAAAAAATTAGTTCTAACCCCCCTCTGTTATGTTAAAAATAACGTTGCACCCCCCTCCCACCACCCACCCACCCACACACACAAACCCACCCCTCACCGCCACCATCACCATAGATGCCTTTAAGTAAATACCTTTTATATTGTATTATTATTGTTATTATTATATTGTATTATTATGTATTTTATTATTATCAATAATCGTTTAACAGCTGTTCGTGTTGATATTTGTTACAGTCTATCATGATGCCTGTATTGAGAATCTTTTATTGCGTTTAATTTTATTTACATTTCGAATAAAACTTAAGGTCCCCCCTCCGTCAAATGAGTGATTTTACTTTGAGCCCCCCTATCTTGGCAGCAATTTTATGTAATGCCCCCGTCTAGTTTTTCAGCCCCCCCCCTGATAATTATTGCACAGTCCCTTAACTCCTACCACTAGCAAGCCGAATATTAGAGATTTAAATAGCCAAGCTACTCTGCTGATCTTTAGTTTACGTAAAGGTGATGCAAGTATATAATTTAAAAATGTTTGAATCCTGAAAATGGGAGGAAGCTTTAATACATATGCATGTATTGTGGTTTGAGAATATTTTGAATGAAAACAATCATCTGCGTAATAATGTATAGTTCCTTTTCTACGCCTGAGTCAGAAAAAAGAATGCCGGAATCGGATAAGTTGCCTGTTGACTAAACTAAATCTCTTCCCGGTGATTAAGGGAGAAACCCTCGGCCCGAGATTGCTTTGGTCTAACATGCATGTGCCAACCTTTCTGACAGCAGTGCGAGGCAAGAAAAAGGGCTAGTCTAGTCTTGCCGAGGGTTGCTTTCTAATAAATTTCACTGGGCCCCCTACACATAATTACATTTAATGCGATAATTGTCATGTCATAATTTACTTGCCCTTGTACGCGATTCGGGAGGCGTCAATTTTAGAACTTCAGAACGAACAATAATCGCGTAATTGATCAATCGATGTCAATTTCGATTTATCCAAATTCGTAGCTGTCCCCGATGCCAAAATAAAAATACCTAATTATGTTGTGATTCAATTTTATCCTTGGTCTAAATTATATTTTCCTTTACTTCAAGCTTATTATCATACATTACCATATCCCAAAACAAAGGAAAATAAAATTTAGACCAAGGATAAAATTGAACCGCAACACATATATTTTGCAAGTCCAGAGACGAAAAATTCAAATATTACTATACTAAAACTGGCCTTGGCGAAACATCATTACTCATAGATAGAAATTAACTTACAAGACACAATAATAATACGCCTAACAGAATGATCGATAGTTGCCATTGCGGAACTTGGTTCGTCATTTATTTCTCTTGACTGGTTCTTCCCATAGCTATCTGTCTGCAAGTGAACAGAAATTTTGGTACAAATAAGTTATTTCAGTAATTTCGCACTGTCAACTGCTTCGTGGATTTGAAGATAGCTTTGAGAGGTAAAAACGACTTGTTGCTTTTTTGCGGAATATAGATGTATATTTCAGACCAGTGACATTTCACTTAAAAAATCCTGGCATCGCAATCTTCGATCCCTCACAAAACGGATTAGAAAAAGTAGCTTTCGTCTTCATATGCTCGTTCTAGTTTATCCAGAAATTTTTAAAAAGTTCATTATTTTAAAAAATAAAATGAAGTTGAGAACACTTTTCCCTATTACTAGCAGAGGTCTCTCAGGGCGAGGAACACTTGAATCGCGAAAATTTAATGCGGCCCTTTTTTCCTATCGGAAATCGCGAAAAATAAACCCCCGAAATAATCGACAAGGTAATGTAATTCACAGAGAAATGGACTATTTTACAAGTTCAGTAAAGCAAATAACAGTGGAAAAAAACGGCGGCATAATTACAGCCCGTACCCGTAGCCGTAAATACGGGCAGAGTGCTTCTTTACTATATTTTTAATTTGCATTTGTCGAATGACTGGGTTTGTTTACCTCAGTGTCGATCTGCAAGTTGTATCAAAATGCTAATAACTGACCTTCTGGTCGAGGAGACGTGTCAGTGACGTAATCTCGAGAGCGGAAAGACTTAAATTGGTGAAGAAAAACAAAAAATTCACTTTGCCTCATTTTTGTTCTTCGAGTAACCAATGATCATGCAGTTACTAAGGGTAAATTGAGGCTGCAAAATGCTGAAAATGTGATCGAATAATCCTTTTTGTTTTGCCAACGGCCGAGTAACACGCGTGTATCAAGAATAGCAGCCAATGAAATCCTTCCACGATGTTCGATCATTAAACCGGCTTCAGCTGGTGCGAAATTGGAAAAGAACAGAGCGTGAAACCACGATGTAATTAGAAACTGTTATTCCCCTCCTTTTTAATAACAGCAGAAGGTAATTTTTTCTTCATGTACTAGTTTTTCTCGATCAGTATATCAGCACCTTTGTGAAAGATTTTTTCTTGATCCTGCGTGATTGCCCTCCACCAAGTGCATAGGAAATATTAGTCGGACCTCATTGAAAATCTCTGCGTGGTCCTCCGACCTCTCAGGCTGCATCAAAGCTCCAGCTAAACTTGCTTTACAAACTTAACTACACTGCCCTGCTCCTGAGAGTCAATTCCACATACCTTGGTCGTGGTCACCATAAGAATGCAAACTATACTGAATCCTGAATCCTCCACTTTCCTTGACGAGACAAAGCGTGTCAGTGGCGTTTCACGGGTCAAACAAATCTAAGTAACAATGACATGAACATTACCATGAGACTGAAATTCGAATGCAACTGTCGAATGTAAATCAGCACTTGTTTATAACTTACAAAAAAAAGACTGGGGCGAAAAGTAAGTGCACCGGGTTTTTTTGACAACAAACACCGTGACACTTATAAGCACCGAGGAGCTGTAACCATATCGAGGCCTTGATTGCATTAATTATATATTACGCATGGATATCGATGATTGGGGAATCCCCTGCCCACAGTAAAACGTGCTCCCTACGACTCTCTCCCCAGTCCCCACCATCTGAGCTCCGCGCTCCAACTCTCTATGTCTGAACCCTGCAACAAGCTGTTAATCGGTTCATTAGCGTAAACCAAACCGGGTGGCACTATGTACTGTTTGGAATTGACTTCCAAATTCCTAAAGGCTTTAGAAAAAAATTGATTGTCTGTTTCATTTTAGCCGTTTTTACATGCTGAGTGGAAGACTAGGCACTTGTATTAAAGCGGCATCACGTTTTGGGTCCTGGAAGATCGTTTTAAAAAGACATCGTCTTTTTAAAAGCGGGTATTGCACAAAGAGCGTGCGCGACAGGTTTTGGGTATTTCGTTGATTTCGAAACACCAGCATTTGTTTGCCTTCTTTGTGACAAGTTGCTTTTTCGATAACAATTAAAGCAAAACTATCTCAACGAATCTCAAGTTGAAACTCTTACAACAAAGTCACATGATATAATCACATGGTTTCATGACGTAGCCCGTAACGCAACCCTAAATGTCTGTAAAAAGCTGCCGTAAAAACGTGTGTTGTCCTCATTCTAGTTTCAGCACACGGAAATGACGTCATGGTTGAAAGCAAGTGGTCCCTCTGTCACGGCACTCACCCGTAACGCAATATTACGAAACGATGCCCGAATCAGTGATTAAAGTTTTTGCGTAAAAAAGAAAAACACTCATCTCTGGGAACTTACAATCATACTTTTTTCACTTATTATACATGAAGAAGTTCTGATTTCGAGATTCAAGCACTGCATTATATAGAAGTCCCGCAAAGTTTGACGTAAAATGCGACCGTTTTCAATTCCGGTTGGGGTTATATCTGTAGCTATTTTAAGTGCATACGTTTATCCAATCGAAAATGGGCAAAACTTAAAAAATTGATTGATTTTTACCAATCAGCGATAAGAATAAAATCCCTTCTTAAAGGCTGCTTTTCGTCATATGCCAAAAATAACAAGGCGCGTTGAGAGCATAAATTAATGGCTCACTAGAAAATGTTTCTCAATTGAAAAAGCCCTTGGTTTGACGTACACCATTCATCAACCGTTAGATCTCCTATCGTAGTTACGTCTCGTGCGGAAAGCCCTCTTGCCTTTGTAGGTATGTTGACATCGCGTCTACTTACATATACAATAACTAAACTGTTCGTACAATGTAAATGTCGGAACGTAGATTGGGCGAAAATAGCTGTTAGACCATTTACAGGGAAGCACGACAATTTTGACGGTTGACGGTTAAAGTTTGGGTTAAATTTTAGCCCAAGATTTTAAGTTTAAGTAAATGTTAACTTCTGTATAAATTAATATTAACTGTTCTGTTTTGGGGGTTGTATTGGCGCCTTTCACTTCGGTTAAAATTTCGAAATATTTTCGGATACAAGCAGGTTATAAGGTTTGTAATGTCCAGAGAGAGCTTTTTGCAGAATGTGGGAACCGGTTTTTCCAGATTAGAGATTCTTCAGGAGCCAGAATTCAGTCCGTGAAGATCAGCTAAAATAGTGAGATTTGAAATACCTTGTCGTGAAACTTTTTTATATGGATAACATTAATCTGCATTTTTCACGGTTGAAGGTAGCCTGAATTTCATCCGATTACTTCGAGTAGTTATTACTCCCTCAGTAAGAGGAGAAAACGACTCGAAGCAATCGGATGAATATCAGGCTAGGTTGAAGGGAAAAACTCACCTTTTTCGACGGCTTACGGTTTAGCCCATCCTCGGAGACCCAGGGGCAGATAGTGGGGACGAGGGAAAGTCTAAACGGGCGGGAAAATGTGGCACGAAGAAAAGTAAAGAACGGCGAGAAGAGCCCCTGGGGACAATGTCTTACCAGACCAGTTCTAAACGGTCGCCGCCGTTCTGGCTTCTGATTGGTGCCAGAAAAACACAAGGTTTCTGGCACCAATCAGAAGCCAGAACGGCGGCGGCCGTTTGGAACTGGTCTGGTAAGACATTGTCCCCAGGGGCTCTTCTCGCCGTTCCTTACTTTTCTTCGTTCCATATATATTTGTCCGCCCGTTTAGACTTTCCCTCGCCCCCTTTATCTGCCCCTGGGTCTCCGAGGATGGGTTTAGCCCATTGAGACCTTCAAGCGCGCCTCGCAGAAGGTATCAAGAGTCTGAACCTGTTCTTTTCTTCTTTTTTCCCTGCGTATTCTAATCAACCAACCACTTCTGCTACAAGTTCTTCTACCTTCTACTAACCGGGGATTCATTTCCTTCTCTTTCTCTCTCTCTCGCTCTCCTTCATTCTAATGTAATAGTTCTAGTACTTACCTTTATTCAATGAATACACAGCCCAAAGCAGAGATTTACTTATAAGATCTTGTGTCTGTTTCTTCCGCATAATTATTGAGAAGCAGTGGCCTCCATGTCGAAAATCAGGAAAAAGTTAGTCGTCGTCGGCGATGGTGCATGTGGAAAGACTAGCCTTCTGTTTGTGTTTTCTCAAGACGAATTCCCCGGATTTTACACTCCAACCGTTTTCGAGAATTATGTCGCTGACATTGAAGTCAACGGGGAGATGGTGGAGCTTGCCTTATGGGATACAGCTGGACAAGAGGCATATGACAGACTGCGACCACTGTCTTATCCCGACTCTGATGTTATCCTGATGTGCTTTTCCATTGATAGTCTTGATAGTTTGGAGAACATCCCGGAAAAATGGTCTCCTGAAGTAAGACATTTCTGCGGCCATACGGTACCAGTCATTTTGGTTGGTAACAAGAAAGATTTGAGACACGACAAAAGTGTGAAGAACGAGTTATCGAAGTTAAAGCAAGCGCCGGTATCAAGCGAAGAGGGGCGTGTGATGTCTGAAAGGATCAAAGCTTATTCTTACGTGGAATGTTCTGCTAAAACTAGAGAGGGAGTCAGAGATGTGTTTGAAACGGCCGCGAAGGCTTCCCTGAAAAGAACGCCACGCAGGCCTCAATCATGGCGTAAATGTAGTATATTATAGCTATAAAGACTTAAAAAACTGGTGTATTTAAAACGGCAGCAAAGGCTGCAGTGAAAAAAAAAAGAAAATATACAGAAGAAAATGCAGCATAATATAGGAGAATAACATTTAAAGGTATATTATAGAACTTTGTCATAACTGAATGACCAATTATTACATAGAAATATATAAATAGCAACATCTATATCCTCCCTGAGTTTTCGGGCTCAAGCTTTGTAGTGTAATTAGTACAGCGCAGAAACGTTCTGCATGCAATTGGCCATTGTTTTTGTCACCTTTATTATTAGTTTAAAAAACTCCTAGTGTGGTAGTTTTATATGGTTTCAATCAGAATAAGAAAATGTATTCGGAAGAACTAATTATTTTCTTTTTTACTCGACTGTTTTTACGTCTGATGATGTCATTAACGAAAAATAATGCTTAAATTCCAGATAATTTGATATAA